TGGGTTTACTGCTAATTAGCAGACGTTAGCCTGCAAACTCCCTAAAGTTGAACATGGTGAACATTCACCTGTCAGGTGAGACGGCTGGACCACAGTGAAGCACTATCGTTCTGTTTATTTGTGCAATGGAGTCATAGAACATATGACTGTAGAACATTTATACAGTCAGTCTTCTGTCACCTTGCATAAACATACAGTTTGATTTTTTTTTTCAGATTTCTACTGAAGGAAAATAACTTTGCAGCCACTTGTGGCATAGCAGCATAACAAAAAACACATAACAATATAAATACATTCATGATGCCAATTTATTCCACTTTGTCACATTGCTCTGTTTGCATACATTCATTTGCTTCATCACAGATGTGCTTTTGTAACCAACAAACCACAACTTCACAAAAAAATTAAATTAAAACAGCAACAAAAATGGCAACAGCAATAATTTAACAATGACTATGACTAAAATAAAACTAAGATTAAGTTAAATTTATTTTAAAAAGCAATGGCTTACAATACAAAATTATTAAAGCGTGTAAGGTGCTCTCGATAAAGGCACATATCCAGTATGTACCTGTCACTGTGCAACAGTGTCATTAAATATGGCTAAATATATGATTACACATGACGGATCCTGCCATTCACAGTGTCTGTAAACGAGTCAGCTGCTCCTTCAGCTGCTCTAGTATCTGGTGCAGCGCAGAAAGTAGTCGTTCCTCAGCACACGGAACAACCTCCCACTCCTCAGGCTGTACTCAAACATGTAGGGTCCGCTGTAGACGTAGCTGAAACCTGCACAGCACAGATGTCACATGTTAGTACTGCATAAACACTTGAAAAACTCAGAATACCTGTCATCTTTTTCTCATTTTAGTCGTCTTGAGTGCTTGAACGTGACTCACCTCTGTACTGGAAAGCTGCCGTCACCTTGGTGGTCAGGCCAGTGAAGGTCTCGTCCACCCGTTTGGGGAATCCTTGGTCCATGGTCTTTCTGGCCTCATCATAACTAGAGAAACAATAACAGTTATTAGACCAAGTCACCATTTATATCCGTCTTGAAAACCCATATCACCACAAAATCAATCATGAATGGGAGATCTCTGTTAAACACACCTGTAGTAACTGTCGCCTGCAAACAACAGAGTCTTGCCAGATGCTTGGTCATAGAGGACTGCATCCACTTTCTTGACAGACTGGGGCAGACCAAAACTGGAAATGGACTTGGGATAGCCAGGTGCAAGATCATAGGCATTGAAAGCCCACACTCTGCGACCTGAAGGGAGAGAAAAAGAGACTTTGCAGTGAATTCATGTGAAGGCAAATAATGTAGAAAATAGCATAAATAGTGCGACGTCAGGTGAACACATACCTTTAAAGAGTAAGAGCCTGTCTAGTTGTTGACTCTCATAGGCAGCATCGATGTTGACAGGGGCATCGGGCCAGAAGTTTGTGATGAGAGTTTGCTGAGGAGTATTGCTCTGAGGGTAGCTACGCCAGAAGAAGCTGAGAACACACACAAAGGAACATACGTTAGTTCAGGAGCCAGGTCTGGTGCGAAGAGAAACACTCTTAATGGACCTGAGCATTCAGATCTTTGAACATTCACTGTCTACGATACCTGTCCTTGAAGAAGAGCATCTCTCCTCGCAGGGTGGCAACAGCATCCAAAACCATGGTTGAGTCGCAGGCGTCAGGGGTGGTGGGGGCTGTAGGTTCAGGCTCACGCGGATCTACGTCAGGGTTTGGACCTGGAGGTCAAATGAGATAAATGTCATGAAATCATTCGTGCAGAAGTTTTTTAGAGATTCAAAGCAGTGAGCTAGACACTCGGTACCAACCATAGAGGGACTGGATGCCGTTGATGTCATCTCTGTGCAAAGTGAAGGTGTCGGGGTTTCTGTACGAGTACACAGGATACATGAGGGCACCAGGATCATCAGAGTGAGACAAGCCCAGAGAGTGACCGAACTCATGAGCAGCAACCATGAAGAGGACGTAGCCTGGAGAAGACAGCACAGCATGACGGGTCAGTCACAGCTCCTCAAGGGCAAGTCGGGTCGGAACACACACTGACAGTAATCAGGTGAAGAGGACGTGATCCTCCACAACAGTGACCAACTCACCTGAGTTTGAGCGGAAGGTGAAAGTCTCATCGTCGTCAAAATGGGCATCTCCTCCGAGGCCAGGAGCCGGAGCGAAGGCATGGGCAAGAGTGCCATCGGGTCCATCAAAGGGGTAACCATCACGATGTGCTGCAGCAGGAACACAGTCAGGTTAGCTTTTGTAAACCCTTGTACCAACCAGGAAATGAGAAGTGGGCTCTGCTGTTCATCAGCGTGATGAAAAGAGGAGCTGCTTCACGCTGTGTTACAACCACACAACTGATCATACACCGTATAGGAAGTGTATGATGCTAGTTTGCTTGAGATGAAATCAGTCAAACTGAAGCTGGGTGGATGTGACTCAGAGAGAACTTCTGTTTGATTGATGTCTCAGGTAGACGATGGAAACGTGGGTTTCTGAATTTTTGTGAAGATGGAGTTCTCTGTTTTTGTAAATGAACTCTTCATATATAAATCTGAACATTGTCTTGTGCTCACCCCGGCGGTTGAAGGAGATCATGATGTCAGCGGTACCACTGTAGATTCTTGAGAACCTCAGAGGAGTAACTCTGGCCCAAACCTGCAGAGCTCTGGCTATGGAGTCGTCCACCTCTGCTGCAGACATGTCAGGTGTGTAGTTCTCGATCCTGTTCAGCAAAACCATTTATTATAATAATTAGTTTCATGCAGTGCTGGGGGTAGTAAGTTTCTCTCCCGTACTGTCTCCTGAGATCATTCACCTGTACGTGAGGCTTTTTTTGTCCCACTTGAGGTCGCCTCCAAAGGTGGAGAAACGGGCAATCTTTACATCTGGAACGCCACAGCGGGGCTTCTTCATCATGGCCAAGGTGTCGGCATCCAGAGTCCCCGTGATGTGGAGGCCAAAGAACTTCTGCATGTCAGCCAGCTTCCTGGTCAAGGGGCTGATCCCCCGTCTGACTACTGAATTGCTCTCCTCTGTCAGGTTGAAGAATTTCTTCAGGTAGCTCTGCAGGAAAGAGAAGAAGGTAAATGTGCATCAGCTGCAGTCGCTCAGTGAAGGAACAGACATGGTCATTAACAGAGACTAAGAAAGTTTTCACGCCTCAGTAGCAACACAGCATCCAGAATTCAAAGCGCTTTAAAGCTCTCACGTGCACCTCAGTGGAGAGAACAGCAGCATGAGAAGGCAGATGCAGCATACGTACCTCGGCAAAGCTCTCATCCTGCTCAGCGACCTGTGATATGGGCACACAGCAGACTGTGACTGCCAGGCTTAGGAGAATGCTCAGGTTGAAAGTCTTCATGTTTCCTCGTTGAATTCAACTTGTGTCTCAGTGCTGCAGCCAGCTGATATATATGCTGCAGCCGGGGCGTGTTGGGCAACTACCTGCTCGAGTAAATGACTCACCAAATACTCCTTTTATGGATAACAGAGGAAGTCTGGCTTTGATTGCTCACTCGACCAAAAAGTTTCCCAAAATAAGACGCTGTACTGATGATGACATGGCTGCATGGAAAGATTTTCATGAAATAACAACCAGAACAATCTCATTATTCTGATTATGATTGTTATTAATAATATTATCAATAATAATAATAAAAGTCCTCTGTGTGTCTTATTTGGCATCATCAGTTGTCAGTGTTGGAGCTGGATGTGTGATCAGACTGGTTCTGTTGCCACTTGTGAATTAATACACACATTTTACAAAAACTGCATATAAACATTTAGAATTTTAAAATCTACACTTTGTCCAGATGTTCAACAAAACAGAAACAATGAGAGAAATGCAGAGGGTACCAGAGTATCAGATTTACACTCAACTTTTGTTTCTGTATCTTGCAAAGCAAAGAAAGAAAAAATCCCTTTGCTGAGGATGACTATGTGACCTGACTGAAAGCTCCAGAACAGCCACTAAATGGACTTAAAAAGGTCTGTGTCAGCCTTGGGGTCCACCAGCAACGGCCTGGTCGCCTCCCATACACTCTGTAATATTTTTTTCTACATTTTTAAAATAATGCACTTCAACAGGATGTTTGTTGCTGTTTCTTCTTTACAGCAGGCCTCATCCGTCTGCATGTATTCAGCTTGTAGGCATCTCAGTGTCGTATTTGGGTGTGTTTGTGATGATTCATGCTGCTACGCTGCATTTAGATCAGAAGATCTGGCAGCTAAAGGAGAACTCTGATGCCAGGGATCCGTCATCGAGGGACGTGAAGCATGAACTGATGTCAGTCACTTACAGGAAAGCACTAATGATTTTGACTTTATGATCCTTTCTGCTGTAATTCTGATTTTATCAAAACGTCTGTTTATTGTAGCGGATCGAAGGCGCCGTACTGCATAGAGAAACGAGAAGTTTTTCCACTTGATCCAGCTGTTGTGTGACTCAACTGCAGGTGGTTATTTTCCAACCCAATCTGTCAGTAATGATCCAGAGCAACTTTTTTTGATTGTTAGTGGAAAGCTACGTTTTGTCCACCGTTGCCCAACACTGGACACTGACAGGAACAGCAATGACTACGTTGAGCAATGCGCCGCCGCAGGTAAATTGAACAATAAATGGCGATGATCACACACACAGTGGGAACGTGTCGTAATTACAAAAAAGTTCATTTTTTAATAAAGAAATATACAAACAAATGTATCCCCATAAAAAGTGAACAATAGTATCACAGTATCACAGTAATGCAAAGGCAGAACCACAAAATCCATTAGATGAAGTGTAAATACGTCAGAACCAGAACCAGAATACGTACACACAGAATGATTTTTGAAATCTTAAAAAAAGACACATGAGAGTGAATCAAACACCAAAAAAGGCACAGTTACCATGATTACAACACTGTATTAGACGCTGAGGTAACACTTCCCTGCTTTATTCAGTAGTTCCCAGTTCTGTAGCAGATACGCTGTGGTCCAGTTCAGTCACACACACACACACACACACACACCATCATCATCGTCATCGTCATCATCATCATCAGGGAGAGCTTTCCTTCACTTATCTCCTCCCTGTCACTATTTCATTGTCTTCCTCCTTCTCACACTCCAGCAGCTCGTTGGCAGGACTCGTGGAGACGACGTGGTTCCGGTCGGAGTCGTACCGGTAGTGGACGTTTCCCTTGAAGAAGTGCACAAAACCTGTGGGAAGTGAGCTCCATTATTGTACTGTAGGACACGTATGTAGGAGTTCAAACTGCAGTAGGAGACGACCATTTGAAGTTTATCATTGGGTTGGAGCTGACTGTGGTGCTGTTTAGGACACCTTCCCGGGTGTAGCCCAGAAACATAGCAGGTGCATACTGGCATCACTAAAAGTATGGAGTGATAAATGTAAAGAGACAATATCAAAAACCTGTAGCAGGAAATAAAAGCATGCACACAGCATACAAGATGTTTTAACGGCCTGTGAGGGGCACAGCAAGAATTTGTAATTTGCATTCCCTCACAGAATGCAAGACGTTCCTTCTGATCTGCACGACCAGTTGGTGTGTTGGTCCAGTCCAGTTTCACTGTTTAGGCAGACACACAGTGAGGATGGATGAAGGACAGATGACACTTTATTGTTAATTTTAAATTCCAGTCTCAGACAGGATTCAGGTGCTGGCTGTGGCTGCACATCTGGGTCTCGTCTGGACTCCGGGTGCTGCTGTGGATGTGGCCTACAGACCACCACTGGTTGGGACTAAAGAGAGGCAGTGCAGCCTCAGCTGTGGCGCCACTACATTGAGAAACAAAACCGGAGGAGTTGGTTCAGTCACTGTGGCTGACTGACTGACGGCCAGCGCTACAATTATAGTCACCATAAATCCAGTCACATCCGCCTTTTAATATGATCACACGCCTTGTCATCCCACCTTTCTGTAGTATCAGCAGAGTGCTTCCCTAAACTGGAAGTATTTTAGAAGTGCACTGACACATCAATACATCAGCGGCTGATATGGATCAGAGGCAGCAGGACGCCCACTGTGGGGAATGCACAAGTTACTGCAAAGTGACACTAAACAACAGTGAAGCGAAGCAAATCAAAAAATCCTCTCCGTGAGTCTGGCAGTGCTCCATAGGGTATCACAGAATCTTTAGCTCAAACTATGAATCAGGTGTCAGATGATCCAAATGTAATACTGCTTTTCACGTGAAGCGGGTGTTGGTATATGAACATCTCCTCTGATAGTTTACACGTAGTGACATGTAGCTCCAGCCTGGTGGTCCCGACAGAAGACGGATGATATTAATTCTACACAGAAACAAAGTCTGAGTGTCAGTGAGGCAGGTGGCTGCATGCTGTCATGCTGTCTGCATGCTTACTTGGGCCTCTGCCACGTTCTTCCTGTTGCTCTGTGTGTGCTTCAGATCATGCATGGTTGCTGATCGGAAGCTTTAATGAATGCTTTCATGTCTTTACCCTCCTGTCTGTACATACATGCATATGTCCCTCCATATTTTACATAGTTATTCCGTGGTCAGTGTCAGAAGTACAGCGGATTTTTTATTTTGTATTTTTTGCATCTAATTTAAGAAGAGCAGGTGAAAAAGGAGAGTTGTTGAAGTACCGTCAAAGATGACAGCAGCGTCTATGGGAGTTGGAATCCCCGGCCACTGCTGCTCTGTGAGCATCGCTGATCCCTCCATCGTCTTCTGCAGCTCGTTGTACCTGGATAGCAGACACATGGTGGAGCTTTATCTTTGGGTTTTTCTGCTGTAAGGTCACAGTTCTTCCCAGAGAGGTGCATCTCTCTGGGAAGCATAATAAAACATCTGTCAGCTTAAAACACACTTGTGCAATGGGAAATAACCAAGACAGTAGGAGAAATGCATTCTGTTTGATTCACATGGGAAATGCGTCTTATTACATCAAAACCCGATGAGGAAGTGGTCTGTGTGACTCCACCGACCACAATAACACGACAAGTCAGAGTGCTATTACAGCAACGTAGGAGACTTCTTCAGAACATTTAAGAACTGTGGCACCACTACATCAAGTACGTTCATTTGAACTTGTTTATACCTGAGGACAGATTTAACTGGTTTCATTTCAGAAACGTATTGTAATCGTCACTAAAGAGAGAATTCTGTTTCATCTTGACTGCTTCAGGCTGTGCTCCATTCAAGGCTCAGGAAATATTCAGCAAATATACACAGTCCCAGCTCTGATTCATTTTCTTACATACACTGGACCGAGGGTTTGTAACAAAGGAAACCAAAAGGATGTTGACAGCATGTAATGTTAGCAAATAATGTTGTGACTTAATTCAGAGGACGTTGCATCACAGCTGGTGGTCACACTTGGTGAGAATGCTTCGTCTTAACTCACGCTCAATGTGTCATCTCAAAACATGATGCAAGGCCCTTGTGAGAGTTAAAACTCAAACAGAATTACGTGATTTCAGTATCTAAGCAAGAAATAATCATAATTTAAATGTTTCAACTTCAAACAAAAGCTGGTGCAGCAGACGTGTTTAAGTTTTACTATGGCTATCCGTAGAATCCATAAATATAACCCGATCCATCCCAACTATGGAGATTCACTCTGGTCTCAGTGCATCCAGGAGGCTTCACTGATTACAGTTTATGAGCATCACATCTGGCAGCTGTTCTTCAGCAGGACAGTGTCTCACATGATTTTACAGCTTGTCTGAACTGCACTGCATCATGGTTCCAGTGCTCAGTGGAAGTCTTTCACAAATGGAGAGACTTCTCTCGCTGAGGCTTCTCTTATGTTGTGCATTGTCATGGTGAATACAGTTTGTTGTGCATTCATCTTGATTACTACACACACGCATGCCATGTGGTGTTTATTTTGTCTGTTTCCAGAAGAGTGTGTCCTAGCAGAAGGAAAACGGTGGCATTCCTTCAGGACCAACACATAAACAAACAAACAAAAAAAATTTGAGGAAAAAATAGAACTAATGAATGGAACATTAAACAGAAGTTAGAAAGCAAAGCATCTGCATCCAGTCGACATTACGGGTACGAATGTTGCATGAACACTTGATTCAGTACGCTGTCGATAAAGCCCAAAATAGCATCGTGCATATTTCTCTAACAATCCAGACAGCCTGAACTGATGGCCTCAGATAATTCTGTTATGCAACAATTACCAGGTATACCACAGGGCTCTGGTCCTGGTCCTCCACTCTTTCTACTCACAGCACAGACTTCATGTCTCCTTATACCAATATTCTATGCAGATGACTGTCTTGTATAAATCTGACTCTTCTTTATTTACAAGAAACCATTTTAATTAATGTTAGATGTTCATGGCTTCCATACGCTACAGTTACTTCAGTTGAAGTTGCTCAGTCTAATGAATAGTTTTGTTTTTACTT